ATTTTTATATATGTGTTAGTGTTTATACGTGTATGTGTGTTTATACGTGTATGTGTGTTTATACATGTATGTGTGTTTATACGTGTATGTGTATGTGTATAGCATATCTATAAATGAGAGATCATGCGCGTTCATCCCCAGGTGCGCGAGCCACCATTGCCAGTGTTCCCTGTTGAAGACCACCGCACTTTGTCCACAGTTTGGGTTGGAACGTTGCGTAAGAGATGCCAATTTATCCGTCATCTAGTGTCATGGTCACTTTGTATACCCATATTCAGGAGTTTGTGCGGGAGTTTGTGCTTTCGTACGCTTCGAAATAAATACATTATTCGACTCAAAGCATTTGATTCTTCAATATTCGTTAACGCACCACTTTGGCAATGCGGTCCTTTGGTTGTATTATGTAATTATTCAATATATCATATAGTATCTGTACGATTCTCCGGAGAACTTCGCATGCATAAAGGTCCGAAAAGAAAGTAGACTGTGGTCTGTAGGGTGAATAGATGTATGGTTGCAACATTTGAACATGCACAAAAGAGGAAGAGATAATAAAGGTACAAAACTTCCCAATCCAAATGAACCACATCATTCACAAATCACAAGAGGGAAACAACAACACAGCTCTCACTTTTTATTTCAGGAGATACTAATAAAACAGGCTATGAACTTTGAACGCTATTATGATGCACAAATAAATATTTAACAAAATTTTCTTGTTTTGGCCAAGTGTCAAGCTGTCAAATGTCAGTTTTCGCCATCGGGAATTTACGACGCTATCTTGATAAATCCACACCCTCTGGCTTGAACCATCGCATGAAGTCAACTATTTAGTATTTCGAACATATTTTAACACCAAAAGATAATATAAAATTACCGGGAGCGGGAGTTGTATGTATTTATTTGACAAATGAGAGAAAGCGAACACAATTTCGATTTTAAAGGCACGAAAAGCATTCTCACAAAGAAAAGAGAAGAGTCCCATGACTCCCATCTTCATGTAAATATACGGACCACTAGCTCTACTCTACCCCAGCGAGAGTGTTTGGTATAAATCGATATCTTGCTACATAAGACAAACATACAGATATTTTATATAAAGGGGTTACTTATCCCAGTTGCAAGTAGTTATTCAAAATGACGGCGATAAAGAGTGCGAGTTACGATTACCTTATCAAACTATTGCTTATTGGCGATAGTGGAGTTGGCAAATCATGCCTTCTCATGCGCTTCTGCGAAGATTCGTTCACACCTAGTTTCATCACCACAATCGGAATAGATTTCAAGGTACTGTACTGCGAAGCTAGTTTTTTCGTATTTGTATTTGGTCGCATATATATATATATATATATGTATATATATATATATACATAT